TTTTTTTCCAATGTGATGCGAAATGTAGCAATTGGCCTGTATAGTTGGTGTTTTTTTTCGCTGAAACAAAACCTGCACTTTGTGCTGCGACACTAAAGAATGGTGAGACACTTGAAATTTGTTTCGGCTTTGTCAGACAGATCAATGTTTCGAGATGATCCGAATGATTTCAAATCGTCAAGAGAATGATTCTCAAGCCATTGGGAAAAGAAGAATGTCCGGCAATGACAATTGAATCTAGCCATGGTTTTCGAGTGCATGAAATATAGGCTGAAATCGATTTTGGATTCGACCACTGAAAATACCTTTTCCTTCACCCGCACCCAACCCTGCCATCCATACCCACACCCACCCTCGTAGAACGAAAGAGATCGTGACAGGTCTTAATTACTCTGGAAATTTTTCATATTCTTATTTATCGTTGTTCGATTTTATCGCTTCATTTATATCTGTTTTTTTTCTTATATTCATATAAATGTCAATGAAATAAAATGGTTTCTACAAACATACTCAAAAATTTTAGTTTATAAATTTCTATTCCCAAAGTATAGACGATAAAAGATGAAAAAATCAATCATCGAATAAAAATAGTGAACCTAATTTTGTTCTCAACAATGTACATATTTCAAAATACTTGATACAGCATACAATTTATTGCTATATATGAGTTGGTGTAAAACTTTATCAAATATATGAATAATATCCATGTAACTAATATCATTGAAATAGATCATCTTAATTTTAAATTCTACTGCTCTCTAGAAAAGAGAAAATGTTCATTCGATATACAATTTTGAACGAAATAAATACAGAAAGAAAAACGTGATAAGTTACACGCATATATATATATATGTACATATAGTATATATCCTATATTCGTTAAATTTAAATTTCAACTATATACTTAAACGTTTAGATTTGAATAATTTCAATGTCGACTATTGATCCTCGTGAATGGTGTAAATTTTTTCCAGCAGATATTACTACAGAATCAGATTCAGCTCTATTTATTCATCGTCTTTTTACTGTCACTTTATCAGCATTAACAGCTAAACGACATATTTTTTCAAATGATCATTTTTCATCAAAAAAACTTGGTCCATTATTTGTTCCATTATTTACTCGACCAATATCAAAAATTGAACAACAACGATTTAATTCAACAGTTTTTACATGGGTATTCAAACTATTATTATTGACATTTTTTTTCTTTAGGTTTATTTCATAAAAAAAATTTTTTGTTTCAGATTCAAGGTGTATCTCAAGCTATTTCTAATGGTTATTTAAAATTAGCTACTTTTTTTATTATTTCAAAATTAGATGATTCAGTACTTGAAATGTATGAATATTATTTTGCTTATAATAGTAGTGGAATTGATAATCATAATGAAAGTTTTTTAAGTACAACATCAATTGATGATATTCAACAACAAGTATTAAAAGCATTGGAACAAATTAATCAATTTGTTGATGAACGTCTTAAATCAATTGTTAATCGATCAAATTATCGTTTTTGTCTTAAAATTCAATATAATACATCAATAACACCTAATGATTATCAACCAACTGGATTTGTTGATTCACATGATATTATTTCACCAATTAATTGGAAAAATATTTTAACAACTAAAATAGCAAGTTCAAGAAGAATTTTAGCACAAATTAAAACATCATATCATAAAATGTTATTAGTTTTTCGAACACCAACTATGAATTCAACTATAAATAAATAATTGTACATTTTGTTCTGTATTTATTGTAACAATTTTGTGAAAAATTAGATTGTAAAAAAAAATATTAATAAATTATATAGATCTTACAGATAGATAGAAAAATTTTTCTATTTAATTTAAATATATCAGATAAGTTAAAATGATTGCAACAACATTCAGTATTTTGAAAATCTTTGAATATACATAATTTCTATAATGTTATATTGTTTTCAAAAAGCAATGTTATTCAGCTGCACGATTTCTTTAAAAAAGAGCTGATCACTTTGTGAACATAAGTCAAATGAGTTTTTCTTTTCTTGTCATACTTCATTGATTTGCTTCTTCAAATCGTTTCCTATTTTGCCCTTTTGATAATCAATAATTCTTATTGAAATAATCTCATACAAAGTAATCTAATGAGCTTATGTCCGATGAAATTAGAAGGCCATTGATCTTTAGATATAATACTTGAGATTTCTGAAGCTTTTCCCGATCATTATAATGAACACAAAAAGACATCGCAAAGAAACTGATCACCATAATTTAAAGAATCTTTTCGTGAGAAAGTAAAGAGTTTTATGATGCATGTTAAAAATATGATTCAAAGTTTTTATGATTTGTTGGTGATGAAATCTATGCAAAATAATCAATATCATTATCATTTTTGTTTCTCTCAAAATAATAGGAGACTTAATCGGTACGTACTATATTAATTCTCGCCTTCTAAAACAATCATTAGAAACATTCAATGAAGTTTTTCATGGTCATTTTTCTAGAGAATTGTGTGGCACATTTTTTGAAAAATAAATTCAACGTTGAAAGATTTATTTGTGTTTAGATATTTGAAAGTGTTCCATATTGCAATCATTTGAACTCTACCGATATATCAATCATTATTGACAATATCATTTGCAGTAATAGTGAACAGAATAGATCATTTGTACAATTCATAGTAACACTAGGAATGAAAGAATAAATCATCTTATGAAAAATTTTCATTACAACTAGACTTAAAACGGCTCTTCGTATTAATCAATCATCAACATTACTATACGTTATTGTTACTCTACGCATTACTTTTACAAAATTTTTACTTAAAAGGAAACTTTGTTTTCATACGTCTTGCTATTAAAAGATCTTGAAGAACTTCATCTATAATAATTCGTAATTTCACGTATATTGGTTGCACATTATATCACCGTAACTGTTTGACACGCTTACATGTGGAACTTCTTTTCATAACAGATTTACTAATCGTACACTTCCTGATAGGACCTGGATGTTTTAAACAGATGTTTCAAGTGATTTTCACATACTGATATTGTTTAGCAATCAAATCTCTGTTTCTTACACATACCATTTCGAAGAAGAACTAATTCTAATATGCTGTTGTTGTCCGCAAGACAACATGTATTTTTCGGTAGATTCAAAAATTAATTGTTTTGTTGCATTGCTATAAATTTCAAGTAACGATTTTCGTTGTTTGTTCTTCAATTTTAGACACATGATGCTATTTTTTTCTTAAAATCTTTATATAAGATTTGCAGAGCACAAAATTCTCTACAAGATGCCTTACATCAAAAGTTTTCATCAATTAATTATCATATTAAAAAAGAACTCACAGTAGAAAAATTCAGTTAAAAAAAAAAGTAATTTTTTAAAAATCTTTTTTCTTTTATATTTCAATTTCTATAACTTCATTCAATCATATTGTCGTAGTCAAAAACTTTTTTCAGAAGTTCAGTTTGACGTAAAAAACTGCTTGATGTAAAGAAATAATATGATAGTTTCGATCATAAAATTGACTTTCTTAATGTGCTCGACAAAGTTCTCTGAAATATTTTTGTCTCTTTATGTGGACATTTAATTTGATTTGTTATTTACAATCGAATTTTTTATAGGTTGATATAATATATATGTAAGAGATGAATAGATTTGTAAAATATTTATTCGATTGTTTTGTCTAATAATTTATCATTAATATTACTATTTGAATAAATATCTTGTTCGGATTTAAATGCACGTTTTTTTTCTAAAGTTTTCTTTGTTTCTATACGTTTTGTTTCTTTTCTTTCACTTTTTTCTCGTTTATATTGTGCAACAAGACTTTGATCACCATTATAATAAATATCAAGTCTTTCTTGTAATTGACGACGTGCAAGAAAACGATTTTTTTCTAAAAAACGAGTTTGTTGACATGTAACAACAATACCTAAAATAAGAAATATTTTCATTTAATTTATATGATAGAATATTTGTTGAAGGAAATTTGTTTTCAATAAACTAGGATAATATAATTAAAAAAATTAGGGCAATTTTTTTTTAATGTATACTTTTTACCTGTTGGAATATGTTTTATTTGACAACAATTTTGTGTTTTATTTATTGCTTGTCCACCTGGTCCTGAACCTTTGATGGCTTTTTCTTCAATATCTTTTTCATCAATTGATGGTAAACGTTTATACCAACTGTCAGGTAATGCTGTTGAGATGAAACGAATATTGATAATCGATGGACTAAAACATGCATGCAAAAAAAAATTAATCTTTACTTGAACTTTATGTTATTTTTAAGCACATAAAATAAAAAAGATTCCATTTTGAAAGAAATTTTTTTTGAACAAAATGAAAAACTTTCCAAAGTAATATTAAAATAAATATTGTTTTCAAGACAAGTTTTCTTTAATTGAAAATATTACTAAAACTTTTAGAGATTCTCTTCTTTTTTGAAAATAAATACAAAGACTCTCTGTTAATTGCCTTACAAGTTCAAGTTTGAAGTGTTGTTGAATATTATTGATTTTGTTTTAGAATGTCTATGATTTTTCAATTTTTAAATCTTTTATAAATTCTTTCTTTTATTAATTAATTAAAAATGGCTGTAATCAATTTTAAATATGAACGCTCAAATTTATTTCATGTCTCTAATTCTAAGCTACTGAATTTATTCAATCAAAGTATGTTTTTTTTTCAAATCAAAGAAGATAAAAATCATATTTCATATCGAATTTATCGAATGATTCTAATTTATTTTAAAATTAATAAAATTTTATAATTGTAATTTCAATTCTAAATTCTTACCGTATACTGATTAAATAAGCAATTCGAAATAAATATTTATAAGAATATAAATTAAAATTCATCATTTAACATCTAATAAAGAAAAAAGAAAGATAATTTTTGTTTTCCCCCGTCTATATATGTATATATAGAGCATTTTATTTTTTTTTTGTTTTTTAATATAAACAAATTCATTTGTTCAATTAAATAACAATTAAGCGAAAAGAAAAAATACATACATTATTAAGAGAGTATACAACAAATATGATGAATGAAATGAGTATTTAATTAAATAAACAAAAAAAAGAAAAAAAAAAGAAACAGATATAACTATAAATTTTTAATCACCGATTTGATTTTTATTAATAAAAGAGATTTATGATAATGATATTTTAACTTGTTTATGAAATAATAATTTCATATCATCAGATAATTTTTCTTCAATAATTATTTTTATTTTTATTTTTAATTTTTCAATATAATCATTTTTTATTGTTTGATCAATAGTTAATAATAATTCATCAGTTTTTGATTCTAAACGTTGAATTAAATCATTAAATCTTAATAATAAATCAACTAATTCAATTTCAGTTAATTTTGAAATTTTTAAATCTTGTTCAAGACGACAATTAGCTATTGTTTCAATATATAATGAATAAATTTTTGAATTAGCTTCTTGTCTTCGATTTGATAACCAAAGACGAAAATTTGGTGTTAATAAAAAATGTTTATATAATTCTTTCCAATCACCTTTTAAACCTGATGTTAATTGTGGTCCATATTGATCAAGTGTTTTAAGAAATTCTTCATTATCAAATTCTTTTATTATTGGTGGTTTACGATTAACTTGATAATATTTACGTAATGGTAAAAGACTAGTGAAATAACGTTCAAGTGGTATAATAAAACTTTGTGTTAATTCAAGAAAAAATCGACGTATTAAAGCATTTTGTACTGTATCAGGACGTTGTTGAGCATTAGTTGATTGAAGTTTTTTTAATATAGTTTTATCACGTTGTAAATATGATTTATATTTTGTATATAAACCAGGTTTTATATCAAATGTTAAATGTGATGAATTATTATTTATTGCACGTGCATGTGTATAAGGTTTTGTATTAGTTGAAATTTTTTTAATTGATAGATGTTTTATTATTGTTGTTGTTGTTGTTGTTGTTGTTTGTGGAGATGATGATAAATCTATATTATCATCAAGTTCATTTGTTGATGAATCTCCTTCATCATGATCTAGAAAAAAGAAACTTCCATTTTGTTTATTTTTCGATCGTTCTTCTTGATTATCATTAACACGAATAATATGTGGCCATTGATTAAGAAGTTTAGCAAAAAATGGATTTGTTACACCAATGATTAAAGATGGTTGTATTGATATTTTAGATGATGATGAAGTTTTATTTGAAGATTTTTTTGATGAATTAAATGTTATCTCTTGAAATTCACTATTATGAATAGTAAAAAATGGACGGTAATCTGATGCGTATCGTAACGGCCATATTATATGAACTAAAAATAAACCAAAAAAATAAAATAAAATCTGAATAAAATTTGAATAGTAATATGATATTCATTTAGCAAAAGCTTTCATAGTAAATGTGTAGTAGTAACATTCAAGATAGTATTTCATCTTGTGATATTATATCATATCAAAAGATGAAACACCAACTTTAATGTCACTATACTATACAATAAACCAATATGTAGCATACAGGAAGTATTTAGTATCATGAAAATAGTTTGTATTATTAAATAAAGTATAGTGTATTACTTTTTACTAGTTGTCAAAACCAGAAATAGTCGTCCAAGTCATTTTTCTTTTTCATCGAGTAGTAATCATCAGTGTTACTGAATAAGTTTAATCAATATACGAAAATGAGATGAACTCAGATTCATATAGTAAAGTAAGCTTAGTTGACATGAAAATATCATCCATTTAGTCATGGCTTTCGCTGACAAGAACAATATAATTTAAGATTTCTATTTTATTTCATAGTTCTATATTATTCTAATTGAAATTTATAAAAGATAAAACTATATTAATAAATATAGACTTTTCAACGTCAATAAATAAAAATAATTTACCAAGTGCTTGAACAGTTCGTGAGCAATAAGTAGGAAAACTTCCAAAAACAGCAATTGGTTCATTTAATAAAATTAATTCCCATAAAAGTTGAATATGTGTTAGAACAGAAAATAATGATTGATAAGTATTAACATCATGTACAAATGGAATTAAACGTGGTAATTGTTGTTCATGTTTTTGTAAAAAATCAAATGATGTATATGAATAATTTTTATTAGCAGTTGAAGTCTAAAACAAAAGACAAAAAACAATTCTTACAATAAAGAATTGAATATAGATAAGGAGATCAAAAAGTTCTGAGAATTTTGAAAACGGAGCTTGTCGGATTTGGTAGATTTTTCAAAATTAAAAAAAAACAAAACATGCCATGTTGTAGAGCAAGTCGAGACGCGTCGAATGGTATATAAAAAAAGTCTTGTTTTCATAAGATTTTGAGGGAACCAGACTGAATTTATTGGTAGGCGATCATCGAGTGAAAGCACTGATCATTGTAGGCCTTGTTATCAGTCGAAAGTGTTTGTAAAAATAATTTTTCTGTATACAGTTTTGTAGCGTTGTTCACGGGCTACTAGCTCATATACTCAGCATCTCCGATTATCCTATCTTTGATAGGGAAAAATACGACTTTTCGATAATCCACCATCGTTTTCTACGAGTAATGGCTGTTGATGAATCTTTGTATCCATGGGCATCTATCACTAAATCCAGTCTGATTTCCTCAAAATCTTATGAAAACAAGATTTGTTATATACCATTCGACGCGTTTCAACTTGCTCTACAATACGGCATGTTTTTTTTAATTCTGAATAAACCATCAAATCCGACACGTTTCTTTTTAAAGTTCTCAGAACTTGTTAATCTCTCTAGTATTTCATGATAATTTTAATTACTTGCTGTTGTTGTTGTTTAATTAAAGAATTATTTGTTGATATCGTATCAATATCTGTATCATCATCAATAGGTAATTTAATTGTATTATTATTATTCAACTGATTATTTGTTGTCATAGTTTCATTAACAATTGAGCGAAATTGTATAAGATCAGATGATGAAAATGGTTTATCACCATGTGTTGGAATACGTACTTGAAGAACATTACCTAATAAAGGTAATAATAATGTTTTGCCTGGTTCAGGTTCAGGCCATTGACGATCCATTAAATGACAACATGTTTCTAAACTTGTTAAACCATATTGAAAATAATTTGGACCAAGTTGACTAACAATTGATATAAATAATGATATAAATGGTAATTTTGATAAAATTACAAGTGATTTTTGAAAATAACCACGTTTCACTGTTATATCACGTATTTGACGAAAATGTACATAACCAAATAATGAATTATTATCAACTTGTAATGCTGATGGAACAATTGAATTATAATATTGATAATATGTTGGTAAATTTGATTCATGATGTATACGAAAATGATATTGTATATCACCAAGAAATGTTGAATTAGCATCGGGAAATGATAAATATGATAAATTTAATTTTTCTTTATCGGATAATTTACAATGATTTGGTAATAGAAGTTCTATTGATTGTCCAAGTTCAAGATCAAATGTCACAACAGCTATACCATATAACCATTTTTGTAAACGATCCCACGGTAATAAAAGTGGTGATGCTGGTACTGAAGAATTTGAAGATATAGATGTTGTTGTTGTTGCTGTTGTTTGTGATTGAATATTTGATGTTGATGTGCTTGCTACACGTGTTCGACTTAAACGACGTTCACTTGTTATAAGATCACGATCAGAATGAGAACGATGCAAATTTGGTGATGTCGGAGATTGTGGAACAGGTAAACTCATCGTATTTAAATAGACTAATAAAAGAAAAAAGAAATGAATATTCTATAATGTTTTGTTTCATTCTAATATCAGCAAGAAAAACACGTTGATTAATCAAAAACATTTTTTTTTGTCATGATATCAATACCGTTCATGTACATTATGACTTCTATAGTTTCTTTTCTTTCTCTTATGGGTTTTAGTATAACAATATCATTATAAGATATGATCATACATCTGTATCAAATGAAAATGAAACAATTACGGACTTAAAGGTTTATGGAAATTCATAGGCAGCATTCTAAATCCAAAATCATTCAGCGTTCTGTAAAACCAAATAGAAATCCATAAAAATGTATAGAATCTTACAACTATTATTCTTGTTTCTTACCTGCAATACATGTAATAGAATAAAATATTTTTTTACGCATACTAGACACTGTTCAGATTACTTTCTTTTTTTTTTTATCTACTTTCATTCGAATGAAAAGAATAAAGTTTGAATGCATCCTTAAAAATACTCGCTTTTTGTTTGTAGGAATTGTTCAGAAGCAGCGGTACATCATATTTTCAAATGAAAAAAAAAAATATAAATAATCCAAACATTTTCTAGTATGAATAGATATAAAGTTTCATCTCGATCAGATGTACTGTGGTTGAAAAACTGAAGCGACTCTCTCTATTTTTTTTCTTGTCAAAAAAACTCATTGTCTGTTATAATTATGTGTGAATTCTTACAATGTATTCAGTAGATAGAGAATATTTGAAAATGTATACAAGTCAGAAATAAAGAAATCTAAAAAATTTTAGTCAACAACAGGTACAAATTCCCTAAAGAACTACAATAAAGTTTATTTAAAATTGTTGTCAATAAAAATTTCATAAATTTTCTTAAAGATTTAAATTCAATAGTATTAATCTTCTCCAATCAAAGATCTATGCCAGAATTTTGAACTTTCTGAATTTCGCACAACAATAATTAATTCTATTTTTTTTTTTGCAATAAACGTTTCGTTTAGATAAAAATTTTATTATGAATGCAAGCAAAAAAAAGATAAAAATAAAATAAAAGCAACTTACTTTGTTAATATTGGTCAATAACCATGTCTACAATAAGGAAAAATTATAGAAAATATTCGATAAATAAAAGAACACATATATACTGTGTTTTATTTCTTTCTTGTCTTTCATACATTGTCACAAAATACAAAGTTTAAAATACAAAAACAAAATCACATAAAATGAAACAGAAAAATAAAATAATAATAATAATAATAATAAACACAGTTGACAAGAAAATACACAATAAATGAAAAGAAAAGAAAAAACAAACTCTTTCCAGAACAAATAAGAACAAAAAAAAAATGAAAAAGTAGTTTATATAAAGAAATGAACAGGAAAATATAAATGTATACAGATAAATAGGCAAAAAAAAAACTACTGTTACGTTTTTTTTTTCTTTTTTTCTAAATATTTTTCTAACGCGTTGTATTTGTTGTTTTATTATTAGTATTATTATTCGTTTCTTCTCGTTGACAATATAATTCTTTTAATTGTCGTAATTCTTCAATTAATGCTTTATTTTGATTTTCAAGTCCAGTTACACGTTCTTCAAGACATTTTATATATTCTTTTTTCTTACGACGACATTCACGTGCTGCTTCACTAAAAATAAAAATCATACAAAAAAATTATATATATTGAAAACAATATTATTTTACCGATTTTTTTGTAAACGCATTTCTCGTTTTCGAGTTGGATCATTACCTTCACCATGCCGTTTTACTTGATGATGTGGATGATGATGATGATGATTTGATGACGATGGATTCGAAGAATTTGAAGAATTCGATGGAGATGGTAGATCAGAATTCGATGATGGAAGTAATTTATAACTAGAAGCTAGATCACTTGGTAAACCTAGTTTCACAAAAAAAAAAAGTAACAATTTATCATAGAGATACTAGTCGTTAGAAATACATCAATAAAATTTAGCTCACGAGGTAACTGGTAATCTGCCGTTAGAATTCATAAGAAAGTCTACGGAAGACCAGAAAAGCTTTAAAGGATTCGCTATCATGTCTCTTTGGAGCCAAGTTACGACTATTTTAGTGAATTTTCATTTCATTTGGAAGTAGTTTGTTGAAAACCACTGAATTTTAGTAATTTAGATAGGTCTCATGATTCTTGGAGCAACGTGAAAGTTTTCGGCGAGACGAACTTTACTTTGTCGAGATACTGAATTAAAAAAATATACTTGTTGGCCACAGACATATCAGAAGAGTCAAGTTGACTTGAAAATTCAATATCTTGACAATAAAGTACTCTTTTCCATAGAAACTTTCATGTAACTGTAAGAGTCATTAGACTTATCAAAATTTCATTATTTGATTTTTCTTTAAAACAGAATTTCGTCATCTAAATTCTAACATTTTGTCCAATTTCCGTCAGAATTTTGACAATATAAAGATTGTCGGAAAATCGAACAAATCATCGAAGTTATTGAGTTTCATCAATATTCTCGCTTCATTTCACTATGGCTAATCATTAAACTGTAATTTCGGAAATCTTTTTGAAAAATATGACCTAAAAAGGTGTGTTGAAGTATATAGGATCAAAAGGCTAAAATAGTCTTCTCTCTTCTCTCACAGATTGCATTTAAATAAGTGATAATTATCCAATTAATAAAGGATGTGTTGAAAGATACAGCAAGAAAAGTGAATCATTCTCTCCTGTCCATAGATCATGACAGTTCACACAATAGATTTTCCAGTAAATACTTAAAATAGGTCGAAAATCTAACAAAACAGTCAGAATTGAGTTACATAAGTGCATGATAACAAATTCTTTTAGATATCTCTTCTAATGATACAGAAACCTCTTTGTGAGTTCAAACAGTACATTACAGTTTGAATTATCTTTCACGTGAGTTTTTTTTTTCATCTTATGAGATTATATGTAACATTGAAATAAAATTAGATCAATTTTATTTAATATAACAGAGTTATCAAGCAATTTTTTTATTTACAAATACATAATATTATCAAGTTCTGTACTATAATTAATTTCAATTATGTAAGATTTATACTAGATTCAATATTTAGCATTAATATTGAAGATAGATATAGTAATAATGCTCATCGATTATTGAATTATTTATGGTATATTTATGTGAAGAGTATTAAAATTTTTTCATTCTATTTCTAAAATAATAGATATAGATTTTTGTGTTAATCTAATATTCTACTATATGATTAAAATCTGATCATTTTTTTTAATTTTTTCATATAAATAATAATTAGAAATCAATATCTATATGAAAACAATTTCAATTAAATTTTAAGTTAAAATATTTTTAGAAACAAAAACAAAAAGAAATATATTCATATCTATTATTCATTCGATTAGATTTAAGTCTTATTATCTCTAGCGTAATTGTCTATTGATTTTAAAAAAAATGCTATTTCTTTTTAACATTCATCTTATCTAGAAGATTATATATATATATCAATATCAAAGATTATTCATTTTACTTGAGACAAAATAAGTTCCGGCACCATCTGGTAAATGAGTTGAATTTAAAGCAGACATAATATGAGCATCACCATTAGCCATTGAAATACCGTTTATTGTTTCACGTGGATTAATATTAACAGAAGTAATCACTAATAGAATAGGAACAGAAATCATAGAATTTTCTTTTTTTTAATATTACAAAATTTATTACCTGTTGACTGTTGATTATTATTTATTTTCGATTGATTAGTTATTAATTTATTTTTTTCTATTGAATAATCTTCTTGTATAGAATTATCTTCGACTTGTTCTTGTTTGATTATTTCACTTAATAATTTTCTATATATAATAAAAAGAAAACAAATTATTTTTATTTTTTTTTATCTATATACTTAAATGTTGGTTGAGTAATAATAATATTTGATCCGTTATTATTATCAGAATAAATTTGACTTGATCGAGGGACAGGAATAGCCTGAATAATTATATCAGAAGTAAAGTTTAATTTAATTTATATTTATATTTACCTGTAAGGCTGACGTTGTTGTTGTAATTGTGTTTATTGTTGATGAAAGAACAAAAGAATTTGTAGTAGTTGTTATAATTGTATCACTATTTGATGAATGATTAGATATGAATGGAGAATTTTGAATATGTGTATAAGTTTTGTTTTCCATTGAAGATCAATAAATTAAGAATGGTGAACATACTTGAAAAAGAATAATAATCTCTTTTGAAAATGATTAATATATTAGAAAAGTGTTTGTTTTCAAATTATTTATTAATTATTCAAAACACAAAAAAAGGGAAAAAAAGAACAATGAGAATAATTTACAATGTTAATGGTGAGTCAAAATATGGGTTTCTTTTTTTTTTGGTTATGTTTTGAAAAATATTAAAGAATGCAACATGAAATAGTTTCAATTTTGTTTTTTTCGAAGAAAAAAAATTTGTTTTTTTGTTTTGTTTTATTTGTAAAAAATAGATAGATGAATTTCAACTACTAAGCAAATATTTCGTTCGTTCTTTAGTTATGAAGTTTCATATGACGTCACGTAAATCTCTATTTCTATTAGTTGGCAAAATAGAACAATAGAAAATATAGATAAAGTTCAAGATAATTAATTAAAAATAATTAAATAAAATTTTTATTTTTTTATTAGAAATTTAATTCATACTTGTGAAATATTTCATTTATGAGATATAAATAAGATATCACTGATTGTGGCGCCATCATCTTTCATTACCTGTTGACGACGTCGTTGTATTTTTTCGTCTTTAAATAACTGTTGAACGAGCAAATCCGATCTTTGCGAAATTGTCTGCTGTACTTACATAATTTCTTTTGCTTTTCGGTTTTACAAAATGATTTTTTAAGTAGTATGTTATTTTTCTAATCAACTATTTGTCTTTCTTATAATAAAAGCGTACTTTTTCAAGGTATGCCCGTTGTTTCTATTGAAATTGATTGTACACCGAAATGCCGTTCAACAACACATTATCTAGATTTAATACGTGTTGCATCTCAATCTATATCGATTCCTATCATACTCAATTATATATGTCGATGTGGAAATTGCGCAAAAGGTTATTTTATATTTATGAATTTTATTGTTTTTCAAAGCATTTTTCTTATTTGATTAGGTCATGATAAATATGGGCGCACATTAATACAAGTATGCTCGGCTTTATCTAATAAATGGCCTATTATTGATTGGTTATTAAAACAAAAAAAAGTTGATATTAATACAAAAAATTTAGAATCAGGCTATACTGTAAAATAGTTTCTTATTATTTGTATATTAATTTAAATAAATTTTCTATTATTATTTAATCTTAAGGCATTACACTATAGTGTATTCTATGGAAGAATTGATAATTCTGTCAATCTTATTAAAGTATTTTGTTTAATTTTCTTTTTTTTTTGTTTTTTTTGTTAGACTTATTTAAAATTTTATTTATTTTTAAAGGCCGGTGCAAATACAAGTCTATTAGATTATGATCATATGACATATATTGATCATGTTATTCGAGATACATATATTGAAACTTCTTCCGAATTATTAGATATTGGTAAATTTTTATGCTTATTAATTAATAATATTAAATCTATTGTTATTATTATTCTTTTTTCTAAATCTAAAGAAAGTTATGAAGTATATACAATGGGTGAAAATACAAATGGAAATTTAGGACATACTCAAGTAAATCAAAACAATATTCTATAAAGATATTATATTATTATTATTTTTTTTTTTTTTGAAATTTCATTATTAGTCAACAGCTAAAAAAGTTCCTGAATTAATCGATATATTTCGTCGTGATTCAATTTGTATAAAAAAGGTTAATTTCAATTTCATAGAAATCAATAGAATTTTATTATACAAAAAAGAAATATTTACAGGTCAAAATGGATAAATATCATACATTATTTCTATCGGATAATGGATCAGTTTATTCTTGTGGTATTGGTGTTGGTGGACGTCTTGGACATGATAATGAAGATGCTGTTTTAGTAAGAAATATTTACATATATATATATGAATTTGATGATTAGAATGAATAAATTTATTTTTCTAGATACCTAAACAAATCATAGCGATGGAAACAATAAAAGAAATTGAACAAGATCGTTGTATTGATATTGCTGTTACACGTGATTGTTCATATTTTCTTACTGAAAAGTAAGAGAGAGAGAAAAAAAAAATGACAAAGTAAAATAAAATTTTTTTTTGAATTTATCATATTTTCAGAGGTTGTTTATGGAGTTGTGGTTTAAATAATTATCATCAATTAGGTCATCCTGGTGTAGTTAAACTTTTAATACCAACAAAAGTAATAAAAAAAAATAAAAAATAAAAATTTCCTATAATTTATTCATGTTTAGATACAATTTCGTCAAATAAAAGATAAGAAAGTCACTCATATAGCTTGTGGTCGTTTTCATGTAGCATTAATTGTTGATGATAGTCAATTATTTACATTTGGTCTTAATGCTGGACATTTAGGTCATCTAAAAGGAAATGATTTATATATTCAACAACCATTACTTGTTACAAAATTTAATAGTCAATCTGAACATGTTCAAAAACTTGTTTGTAATGATTATACAATTATATGTTATACAAATAAAGGAGATATTTATGTTTTAAATGATTATAAATATCGAAAAATTGTTAAACAGTAAGAAAATAAAAATAAAAATGAATCAAATATTTTGATTATTAAATATATTAGTTTGAAAAAAAAGAATGATTGAAAGTTAATGTTTATGAGTAATAGATGATACATTTTTAAAAGAAATTATATTAGATAAAGAAAATAATTCGATTTATATATTTGTTAGAAAATTTCTTTATAAAAATATGACTATTATTTCTTATACTATTCGTATTATTGTTTTAATAATATATTTAGTGATCATAAATATTCAAAAGCACAAAAACAAAAAAAAATTCTTAATTAAAATTTTATTTTTTTCAGTGTTTTGAATGTAACAGAAATAGCTGTAGTAGGTGGTAAATTAGAATCAAATGGTATACTTGATGAAGAAAATATTGATGATGATTTAAAAGTATTTTATGTACAATCAAAAAAAGTATGTTATAAAATGAGAGAAAAAAAAAATCTTTATTAAATAGAAAAACTTGTTTTTTTTTATTTTATTATCTAGTTGTATCTTTATCATGAACGTGAATCAACTAATAATCGAGCAAAATTATGTTTATGGACAACTAAACAACGATTAACTATTGAACAAATAGTTGCTGGTACAAATGCTGTTATTTTTTCAACAAATACTGGACAAGTTTATACTGCAAGTCTTGATAAATTATCGAATATTAATAAAAAAATTGAACATGGTATGTAAAAAAAAAACAAAAGTCGATAAGATATATTCAAATTATTTTTAATATTGGTTTCTTCGTTTTACATGAGACTCGAAAAGAATAAATACTTTTCATATGAAGAAAATCAAGTAAAAAAGATTCGAATCAAATATTAGTAATAAAAAAAGAATCTATCTAAATTCTAAATATTGCCAAACAAACATCTATGACAAACATTTGATTTGTAGTGTATAAACATTGTTTTCTTAAACATCACTATTCAATTACAATTTTCTTACAATTGATGGATGTATATGAAGTATTATATTTGAATTTAAATATATTTACAGCGTATGTTATGTTCCAATAATTCAAAATTTATTTTTCTCTTTTTGCCATAATTGGATAGAGTTCACGTAGGAAAAGAATTTCAGATGTGTTTCGCCCTATATTTCTCAAATATAAATATTAGAATAATTACTTTTAAAAACTTTTTCTACATTTGAAATATTATTTTACTTATGTAACTCAACGAATTCTATTCAATCATGATAAAATTAGAACAACAAATCCTGCTAAAATTTTTGATTGTTGATAAGATCTTTAATTTGATTCATTTATATTCAGTATAGAACCGTGTGCATCGGACTTTGAAATCTGACTGTGAGATATGTAATCCATTTGTAGTTTATTCCTGAATGTTTCTTTCTCTTTTTTTAACGACTTAAAAATTGTACATATAGAACCAAATCAAGAGGAAAAGTCTATGAGATGAAAAAAAATCCCATAGATGATGAAAATAAAAAATTGATGATTTGGAAAATTCAACATGAAAGAAAGAAAAAATTCTTCAAAATCGATTTTGAAAAGAAATTAATTAGTAAAAAATTTGAGTATTATAATTCTTAGATAGCAACAAGTTTCAAATTTGAACAACATGAGAAGTTTCAAGGAAGAAATGATCAAGAAAACATTTATTAACAAGTACTACAAAGAAACATGTATATATATATAGTAGTCATTTATGATTGCACAAGACATTGAACTTCGATGTCTTTTTAAGTTACAATAGACGCTCTTCTATTGTTAGTTTTGAAATTTTCTAATAATCGATGTCTACATATGATTAAAATAATTTTCAATAGTTGAAAATGAATTATATATGTAGATTCATCATCAAATTTAATTTATGATGAACGTGCATATCAATATTTAACTCCATCACCTATTCCATTGCTACATCGATGTCGAGCATTAACAACTGATCGTACAGGACGTTCATTAGCTGCTCTACAATATCATCCAACTACTCAGTAATTATATTTTAATAAAATAAATATATTTAATATTGTTTTCTTTGTTTTGTTTTTTTTTATTTTCAGTTTAATTGCATATCCACGACAACCGGAATCAAATTTTCATGAAAATTTACTTGATTTATTTAATGAAGCTGAACATATGCATGATATTATTCTTGAAATAAATAATAATCAAACATTTCCAGCACATAAATATATATTATCTATGCGTAGTTCATATTTTCGAGAATTATTATATAAAAAACAAATAGATAAATTAATAATAATTAATAATACAAATACATTAATTAATCCTGAAATATTTCAATTAATTCTTGAATATATTTATACAGATAAATGTCCATGGTTACATTTTATTAGAAAAATTAAAACACGTAATGAACATGAATATGAAATTTATTTAGCACAAATGAAAAATATTGATGATGATATTGATGATCATCGATATTTTGCTCGTATTCGACAACAATCTACATTAAATACAGGAAATCATCATCATCATCATCAAAAACATGGAACAAAATCTAA